TGATTTTGTTATTTTCTCATTAATGACTATTCATATTCTTTTTCGTTTAATGATGCTCGTCTTATATGTATTGTCTTTTAAAAATGTTCGACAAATTCGAAGTATTTCACATCAACAACGACGAAATCAAATTCGTATCATGAAAAAGAAAGATTTTCAATAACTTCATTGTTTATTCGTTCAAAATATTGTCTTTATTACTTTTGTTATACTGATCAATACCAACTAAGTATATGGAGCAATTGTGCGAGAAGAAACACAAATACCATTGTAACAAGCAATTCATCAGTTTTTAGATCAATTCTTTATAATATTCCTTATTGTACGAATTTTTACATATTTATAGTCATGTCAAAAATCTTTTCGACATGAAGTAAAACGATTGATTTTTAAAATATGTAGAAAAGATCTAGCAGTATTAGAAGAAGAAGAAGAAAATAACGAACATAATATTGTTGTTGTCTATTAAATGATTACAAAAATAAAATAAATTTTTTTTTCGTATCATCAGTCTAATTTCGTACGACATCTTTTTAATTATTTCAATTTCTTCATTTGTTCGTCTTTGATCCATTGGTAAGTACCAGTTGAAATGTATATGATGCAGTATATCAAACATATAAGAAACAATTAATGTCAATGAGTATGTAATTGTTATTATAAAATGACGCCACATCCGCTTTGATACATCTGTCAGAAAAAACCATGTCGCTGACGCAAGAAATTGTAATTTCAATCGATTCATATGATGTAATAGTGTTTATATATATAGAGCAATAGTATACTTATCGGAATATTCATTTTAGACTATTTGTTTGGTGTGTATAAGAATTTGAGATGGCATCAAATAGGAAGAAATATCAAAGATGTGTGAATATTGTAATAAAAGATTTGATTGAAATTGGAAATGATGTGAATGTTGATGAAATATTACCAATATGGGCAAAGTATGTAAAATGTTAATTATAATCTACTTATTTAAATTATTCAATGTTTTAGAGAACAAGAGGATATGGTTCCATCAATTATTACTGATATTGATCAAATTGAACAACCAATTAAATATATCGCTGGTTTAGATATAAGTTTTGTTAAAACAAATGATAAAGCTGTTGCATCGATGGTTATTTTTGATTATAATACATTAACTATTGTAGCGAAAATTAGTATTTATTGTGTAATTAAAATTCCATATATACCTGGCTATTTAGCATTTCGTGAAACTCCAATATTTATGAAATTAATTAAAATTCAAAAACAACGTTGTCGTCATTTAACACCACAAATTATTCTGATCGATGGAAATGGTGTTTGGCATCCACGTCGTGCTGGTAGTGCTTCTCATTTTGGAGTTTTAAGTGGTATTCCATGTTTTGGTGTATCAAAAAATGTTCTCCATGTAGATAGTATTACACGATCTAAAATACCAGAATTATTAACTGAAAATGCACCAGATAAAGATCAATATATGGAAGTTACGGATGATAGTGACAATGTTCTTGGTATAGCTTATAATGTAACTGGGAATGTAAAAAGTGCTGTTTACATCAGTGTTGGACATAAAATAAAATTAGCAACAGCTTTAAATGTATTTCAATCAGTAACTCAATATCGTATTTGTGAACCAATACGACAGGCAGATTTACTTAGTCGATATATGGTTGCGCAAATTTCATAAATAAACATTTTTTCGTGTTCGAAAATGCTGTGAATTTGTATTGTTATTGATTGTATAGAATTGATCTATTAGATAAATTGTTATTCATAAGCTCAATTGTAAAGAAATTTCAATTAAAGACATAAATACCCTAGCATTGAAACCATCAATCTGATGAATTAAATTAAATATAGTGAATAATTTGGTTACAAAAATAGATTTGGTTAGATAGCGTCGTTGATGAGGTTTCGAGGTGGGATTTGAACCCACGTATCCGTTAGGATAAAGTGCCTAAAACTTTTGACTTGGACCGCTTGTCTACACGAAGGAATCAACATACAAAGCTAACCGTATGATTCACTGCAGTTGTTACTATAAGAACTAAATGTATTCAACGTTGTGCAATTACATAACTTACTTTGTTAAAATAAAGAAATAGGTTTACTACAAAACATGAGTATGTTTATGATAAGAGTCTATTCTCTTTCCTTTATTCTTTTGGATTTGTTTTGCGCACAGGTCTAGGTGATTAAAGTTTGTTTACTCCTTTTTTTTTACTTGCATTCCATAGATTCTTTCTCAATAATCAATATTGCTTATAGTACTTAGAAAATGTTAATCGTTCATCATTTTGCTGTTTCACAATCGGAACAAGTTGTTTGGCTATGTGAAGAACTTGAAATCCCCTATGAACTTGTTCGTTATGATCGTGATCCTGAAACACGTCTTACTACAGAAGAATACAAAGCATTTCATCCATTTGGAACAGCTCCTATTATTGTTGATGGAGATGTATTATTGGTAGAATCAGGTGCTATTGTTGATTATATTATTGTTAAGTATGGTAATCAGTGGCGTAGTCAGGGGAGAGACCATTGGACAATTGTTCAGTACTTGAAAATCTATTGCCGAGTACTGACAAGTTTTACGAACATGCGCTTATCAAGAGCTTAGTCAAGTTTAGGAGAATTTTGGAGTTTCGCGGGATTTGACAAAAGTGAATGTCATTTAATTAGTGACAGGGTTTTCTCCGTATTTGCCTTAGGGCTTCTAATCAAAATATATGTGATCCACATACATGATCAATTATAAATATGAAACTGGGCTATGACTGACTGAAAAAGAAACAAAAAAGCATGTAACATAAGACAATGCTGACTGGTTAATTCACCCTATCACATCGAATACAGATGGAGTCGATACTAATTTTTTCATGAGAATTTTTCAAAAAACTACTATAACAACCAGGGGCGGTGGAGCTTCATCAAGCTAGATGAGGCTCATAATATTTTTTTTCTGGCGATCAGATTTATCAAAACATTAAGAAGAACATAAGTCCTCTTTTTTTATTAATCTTCAATAGAAATCAAAACGTTCAAGATTGAGCAAAAACTAATTAGAAATCATCTAAAATCAGTTTTCTCTGTTCGTTGTTCGATAGAAAACGAGCAAACATTTTTAAAATTAATAGAACCTGTTTTTTCTTTGTATATCGGCAAAATGGCACAGAACACAAGATATTTACCGCCTCCATTTCACTTAAACTTTTGAAAGGATATTGAAGCTCTTGTACCTTAGATATATGTACAAATAGTGGCGCTTTCGGTTACTACTTAACTGAAATCAATTGGGTGTGGATGTGGGTGTGGATCAGGGTTGCCAGCTGTGTCGCTACAATCAACGTGAACAATTCGGAATTCCGAATTGTTCACGTTGATTGTAGCGACACAGCTGGCAACCCTGGTGTGGATGTCAACTGTTCCACGCGCACCCACACCCATACCCCACCCTATGTATTGATACAAATAAGAAAAAGAAAAACAAATGGTTACCCGCACTAGAAAGGTCAACGAATGCATTTATCGAAAGATAAATGTACATAAAAATGAATCTATTAAAGCTATTTTGTGAAAAAATTGAATCGACTCGAAAGGGTAAATGAGAATATGTATTAACATTTTTCGTCCGAAAAAAACAAAATTCTATTTTTCTTTTTATTTGTTAAAAAGTCATCTTTTTATTATAAATAGTCTGTGAGATACCAGCAATCCATTTAGTTGCAAATATCATTCTTGTTTGATGTTCAATTCGACATGAAAAACATCAATTGGTTTGTTTAGAACCTAGTCAAAAACAATATTTCAGTTTTTAAAGTAAGACTGAGATTATTATTATAATGTTAGATCAATCTCTTTTTTTTATAATATTGATAACCTAATAGTTAAATGATCTCTTGATTAATTTATTTTCAACGATTATTTCTTAAGACTGTATATGAACATAAATTTTCTCTACCAAAACCAATTGATTTGAATCGACATTGTATTATTATAGAATTGATTGATGGTTATCCATTTTTAGTGTAATTTTTTTTATTATATTTTATATTGATTTATCCTATTTACTAGATGTAATATAAAAAAAATTGATAAACCAGAAAAAATTTATGTTGAATTAATGTCAATTATAGTTCGTCTTGCATCTTATGGACTTATACATTCAGATTTTAATGAATTTAATTTAATGATAAATGATAATGGTCGTGTAACAATGATTGATTTTCCACGAATGGTTTCAATATCACATATAAACGCTGAATATTATTTTGATCGTGATGTATAATGTATTCGAGATTTTTTTCGACGTCAATTTCAGTTTGAAACTGATTCGTATCCGAAATTTGTCGATATTAAGTAAGATTAATTATTATGTGAAAAATAACTAAAAAGAAAACTATTGTTTCTTAGACATTTACATTCACTTGATAATGATATTAGAGTAAGTGGATTTTCAAAAGAATTAGAAAAAACAATATGAACAAGTAACGTTTCATTTGTTCTTTTTTTCGATTTATTCATTATACTAATAATTCGAGATGGAAAGTTATTGAGAAAATCTTGTCAGTTTCAACATGAAGCTTTTCTTAGAATAGAATAGTAGGTTTCGTATTAGCAAGTGTTTGCTAATCTATAATGAGGGAACCCACACATGTGATAAACTTTGTTTAAGCTCATAATGTAGATAAAATTCAGAAAGAATCCGTGTCATGAGGTCTTTCTTCTCGAGTTATGGTCATTTTACTGAGCTTGCAGCCTGTTGCAGAATAACGAGAAAAATTGCAAAAAGGATTTTTAGTCTTGAGCACTTCCTAACAATAGCTCTCATAATCCTTATGATATGCTGAAAATTTCAGCTTCAACAAATAATTTCTTCTACAGATATTGTATGCCTCAAAATTGGACTATTAATGAAGCTCTTGTATAAAAGTAACATTTTTTTGCAAACTTGCTATCTCAGAAGGAAAATGTCTATTTGAGCTGAAACTTTCAAGATATCATAAGGATCATGAAAACTACTCATGTCATAAAACAATAGAGTTAAAAATCAGAATAAAATCTATTATAATCATACACTTTTAGTTGATTTTAATCAGTTTTAATCAAAAATTTTGACTTTTTCGGTTATTTTTGGTTAAAATTGGGTCACAAGTGATTAACAATCGACTAAAAGCGTATGATTATAACCGATTTTAATCTAATTTTAACCCTAATTTTTTTTTATATGACTTCTTATCAAATAAAATAATTTGAGTTGTTTAAATACCTTTTCGAAATATTCATTAAAAATCAAGTCTGATTCATCTGTATAACATAAATAAATAAATGACTTGTCTGATAAATGCTCAATAATTTTATTATTACTTATTATTATTCCAGAAATCTTACCATTAAGATAAATATTTTTCACATCGAATATTAACTATTCAGAAAGGAATACTATGAACAGATGCGATTATCTAATTTAGCATATCATAAAGTGGATACGACAAACATAAAAGACTTTGTTTGGAGTCAGTCACAATGCATTTACAGTGTAAACTGTGTTACATAAAACTATTTTAGTTTATTCGTGAAAGGAAGGTTTACAGATACTGCAAATGACGTCTTGCACAAGATTCACAATAACTGTATACGATAATCTTAAGCAATCAGTGGAGGTCCTAATGATCATTTTTCTTGGAAAATTTTTTCCTTCTATACGCGATCATTCTAGTGACGTTCTGATAATATTGTATTTCGATCAAATTTTGCTATTTCAAATAGAACAAAAGTTTTATATCTGAATAAAACAAAACTAAACTAGAATTCTATCTCCGTTCGAAAACGACGAGTACCCTAATTTTGCATTGCAATATGATGCATTGAACATTTTCGAAAATGTGATTATCATCAATTATCTTACTGAATAATTTAGTCTACGTAGTTGTATCTGATTGATATTTTAACTCTTTAGTTCCCCTCGATCACTGGAACGAACATTTCTTGTAGTAAACTTTATAGACTATCCATTGGTAAAACGGATGTTTTTTACCATCGCTCCATCTTCGAAATATCGGGCCTACAAAGTCGATAATTTTGAAAAAAAAATGAAAAAGTTCGAATTTTTCGAAACAATTTGTTCTCTACTTACAGTCAATAGAAATCTTTTGGATTTTCTGTGGTATATTAATCGATGCAGGAGTCCACTATTAGGTTAGATGTATTTCGAAAGCTTCACGATTAGTGAGCGACTTACATACGCTATGGAATATAAGTAATCATGGAGCCCCCTATTAGGTAGCTGGAAGGCAATCAAGAGGAAAGTTAATATATATACATATTATAAACTTCAACTCATGAGTAGTTGAAATAATGTTTAGCATGAATTAAATATCTTCAGAGGTTATAATATAACTTACAACAAAGTAGATGCTCGTTTAACAAAATAGCTCAAAAAAAAACATATACTTTTTCGACACCACTTTTGGTCGGTTCATTTCTTCCTTTTTTTTCCATTACTCCAATAACATGAGATAGATGTTGCTATTGTTCATTCAATAATGTACTCAAAGAAAAAAAAATCAAGGTTTAGTATAGCATTCAATTCTCTTTCTTCATTACACGATTACGAGATCAATCCAGTGGCTCTATATGATGAGATGGACATTTGGGAGATCAAGGCATGTAATTGACATATTAGGCAGGCTAGTACGCTATTTATAAAGTTATTTTATCAGTAGCGCTTCCGGAATCATTTTGAGGGGATAAAGGATTAATCGTCGCTAGTATACATTCAAAATTAGACGACATCTGGAGAACTCTATTTGATAACATATTTTTATGTCGGAGGGTAGTTATGACGACATAAAGAAAAGGAACTTTTTTTCATTGTATGTCTTTATTGTTAATGTAGCATTTAACTATTCTTATATAATAAAGAGACAGAAAGAAAACGAAAAGACAAAAAGTGAGTATAAATGGCGGCATGATGACTAATACAGTTAAAATTATTGAACCGAGGACAAATATATACTCGTAACATGACTGGTATACTCATATTGCTCATACTTTTTGTCGTCATATATGGACTTGGTTATTTTATTTATAAAAGTTATTTCTATTTTCCACCGATTGAAAAAATCGATTAAGAAATAAACGTGTAATAATAACTGGAGCATCACGTGGTATAGGTGAAGAATTGGCTTATGAGTATGCACGTTATAATTGTCGTCTTATATTAGCTGCACGTAGTATTGATATATTAAAAAATCAAGTTGCTAAAAAATGTCTTTCATTAGGTGCAACACAAGTTGAATGTATTCAATTTGATCCATCAAGTGAACTTGCATGTATTGAACTAATTAATAAAACAATTGAATATTATCAAGGTATTGATATACTTGTACTTAATCATACTACATCAGTTTATGAACCATTTTTTAAATGTGATATTAAGACAAATATTGAAAATATGAAAAAAGTGTTTGATGTAAATTTTTTTGGATACTTTCAAACGAGTAAGAAAATAGAAATTGAATTGAAATGATAATTTCTATTTTTTGTATTCTAAAGCGATGGCAGCTCTTCCTCATTTAGCTCAAAATGGAACATATGAACAACCATCTCACATAATTGCAATGTCATCATTAACTGGTACTTGTCCAATACCTCAAACAACTATATATGGTAAGTTATTATATTAATATGTAGATTCATGAAAAAGAAATTTTTTTATTTAAATAAGGTACAACAAAACATGCTATTCAAGGTTTCTTTTTGAATCTTGCTCGTGAACTTCGTATTTCTGAATTATATCAAAATCGTGTTACAGCAACTGTAGCTATTCTTGGATTAATTGCTACTGAATCTGCACTTAGTACAATTGACAAAAGTCTTCATTTTTTAGCGGTTGATGTACATAAAACTGCTCAAGCAATTATAGCTGCTGGTGTTTATGGACAAACTCGTTTATTTTATCCAAATTTTTTTGCAATTATTCCACCACTTTATTACATATTCTCTCCTTTATATGAGCTTTTAGCTCGCTTAACCGATTGACTATTATAATTTGTCGGAAGAGTCAAAAAAAAAAGAAAAATTAACTCGAACGAGATACATCCAAAGACATAATATATCATGTATCTAATACGAAATTTGATATTGACAATAGAAACATTTTTTGCTGAACCAATAATCATATGTAGTCGATTAATATTTGTATCGCACAATAAACAGTATTTTCAAGGTCTGTTATATCCATAGATGTAGGTGTGGAAGTAGAGTATGGGTATAGGTGAGTTGGTGCTGGTGTAACTATTGATATGCATATGGATATGATTTGGCATGTATGTGCGTGTTTGCGTTATGTAGGTTTGGAATGTGGGATACTGATATGACTAGGTGAGTTGTGGGCGTGTGGCTGTGAGTATCTAACTTCTTTTGATTCTCAACGATGCTCACACCCAATTTTCAGCTCGAATAGATGAATTTGAAAAATATTAAGAAATCTAATTCCTACTGTTTTTATAATGAGTTTCGCTCATAATCTCCCGTCAATGTTTACTCAAACTATTCGATTGTATCTGAGATACCAACGTTAGGGTTTTGCAGAGGAGATTTTCTCTACAATATAGCCATTTTGAGTTAGGGTAATTGACGCTTTATGCATGCTTCGTGGTCTTTGACCAGAGAGTCATCTTTGAATAGTCATTCATTTTAGTAACAGCAATACCATTGAACCTGTTGTTTCTTATATTTTGACAGCTAGACTTTTGGAATATACAACTGCAAGCTATGTTCATTGAAATGATATAGAGTAAAACAACATACAAGATGCAATACTTCTCTGAGTAAAATTAGAAAAAAAATATCTTTCGAACTATTTTAATGTTTATAATATTTTGATCATAGCACCATCATTTCTGAAAGAAATCCGAGATTTTGTTATCAAAATTATCAGCAAAAAAAGCTCTACAAATCCTGATAGAAAAGAAAAATTTCTGGATATTTTAAGTTTTTCTAGTTGACTATGCATGAAACTACTAAATTATATTCAGTTGCACTATCAGGTTGGTCAAATTTCGGTGCACGGAGATCCAAGACGTAGGTGGGTGTGAGTGTGTTTAAATAGAAAATAGGCATCCACACCCACACCTATCCTGGATTGTACTCATGTCTCTTTCATTTGCATACAATTAGTGAAATACCAAATGTTTGGGTGACTTCTTAGTAGACGAGAACTCAATCTATTATGATAGGCTTTAATGAAAACAGAGGAAACGATTGGCAGACTGAATGTGTCATCCTACCACACTTACATGTGTCTGTTGGTTGTAAGTTCTTGCAAGCACTTGGATATTTTATAGGATAGTTTGTAGAAAAAAGCTGACAAAAGGAATGTACCAAATATAACATTACTTGTAAAACATGATATTAAAAACAATCTACATTTCATCGAAAAAACATTTTCAACAATATACAATCCGTGGTTTCTTTACAGTTAATCTTTACGTTAGTTTTAAAAAAATAATATAGCGATCGATCTTATGGTTTTTATGCTGTGTTTCCTCTTCGTTGTTTATATTCAATTGATCCCCACATAACGAAACGAATTCTGTATAATATATCGAAGTTCAAATGTAGTATTTATTGTTCCCAAAGTAGTGCACATTCATATATTGAATCCTCTTATACTAATTTGGAATCTGGATGTCATGGTTGCTTTAGCGATCTGATTTATCCATTCAAAAATTTTTTCGTTACATTTTTTATCATACTATACCTACAACTTGGTTGCATTTGTTGACATTTTGCTCTTGAAGAACTATTAAATATATAAGTAAATTAGAAATGAAAATGGCCTTTTAGAATAAGCGCAGTTAACATTGTACTCCTTAGGTAAAAACAATAATCCTGATATCAAAATTTTGGATTATCATATGTGTGACATTAGTCGTTCTATTCTATTAAGTATTTAGTCTTGAATAAAATGTATTAGATAGTCATAATCAGAAGTCGCAAACGCTGGCCATCTATTATGTGCCATTTGTTAGACCTGTTCATTCTAATTTTAAACACGAACAATAGCAAAATAGAATAGTAATTATTTTGCAATACATCTATAAAACCATTACTGTATATAAATTTTTTTTTTTTTTAATCTCATTTTTCTTTAGTAGCTTTCTAAACCATGCTACCAACACTCATGATAGGTCACTGTCCGTATATCGAAATTGTTATGTCTATTCGTATTCGTTTCACGACTTAGAAATACTAAAAAATTCCTATAAGAAGTTGACCGAAAACCGATTCTGTCTGATCGAACTGATTTTCAATGCATATTATGTTTCTCTATTTTGAGAAAAAGGTTAGGACGTTAATAAGCATCTTCCGTCCCGAAACGGTTAAATCAATCTTAATATTCAACGAAACTAAATAATACAGCTCCATAATCATTCAAACTAAAGATATATGTTATTAATACCTTACAAATCAATTATTATTATTGAATTTATTTTTCTTCAATTAATTCATTGCTGATACTATGTGAGACGAACTTTGTTTTTTATAAACTGCATAACAGGCAATATCCCTTTAAAAGACATTCAGAATTTATTTTCGTAGAGGATACATCCTCTCTTTTCGATCGAAAAATCAATTACTAGCTGATCATAATGGTAAAATACAGTAAAACAAGATATTTTGGAGATGATAAAATTTGTCTTGATCTGTCGTATATTATAAAAACTCTTATAGAAGTTGATGTGAGTCACTTTCCATGTGCTTTTATTATTGTTAAAGTCCGAAATACATACAAAGTATTTACGGAAGTTAGGAGATCAAGTAGAATATGCAGAATATTTTGTACGGGTTGAATAATTACATGATGTTATAAAATAACAAAGAGATAGAAAAACTCAAAACTAGAAAATTGTGTGAACTCGAAAACACTATAGTATCTTTTTTTCGCAATTTTTCTTTTATTGTGTAGCTTTTGAAAATAAATTGATAAAATGTGAAACGTCATTTTCTTGAAAATTAACAGAGTACTAGATTTGCAAGCTGTAGACATGTTGTTTTACTGAACATTACTAATAAACAAAGAGTTATAGAGTTTTTTATAATAATCATTGTGAAATTGTTTTTTCTCACATCATAAAACATGAGTGTTGTGACTACAATTCTCTTACATTTCGTCCAACTGGCTAAAAAACTAACTACAGATTTATGAAAATTGTTTTGCCACTGGTGTATTCATTTGCTCTCGTTTATACGCTTTTATTACGGAGCTTTAACTTTTTTCAATGTCATGAGTTGATTGAAAAACCTCTGAAAATTCTAATTAACTGTCCAAAAATATGTGTTCCTCTTACTGGAGGACATTCGTGATAGAGCCCAATGAAAATGAAAAAATGGTTAACGAAAGTTTTAATTCTTGTAATTCTGTTTGTATGGAGAACTGAAAATGATGAATAAAGAGCGAAGAAATATTTGAGAAAATATGAAAACTTCAATGCCATCTGCTTGTGAATGTTTATATCCTTGATGATAATCATTATCATCCTGTTGTAATTGTCGAATTTTATTAATTTGTTTTTGACTTGTTTATATTGAGTTGTTTGATTGAAAATTAAGTAACTAAATACTATCTTCAAGAGAATATTCTCAAACATCAAATGTTCGTCCTTTAACTTTTATTGTTAAAGAATCAAAAAACACTGACGAAATAAATTTATAACAATTGTTGTTAAAAATTTACAACAAAGAAATAAATTCTTTTCTATGTGGAATATTTTACCATGTTAAATGTTCGAATAACTTGTAATAGAGGATAAGCTACAAGCATATCACGAAGTAATATATTTTACTCAAAGTGGAAGTATAAGTACAAACTTTTGTGTCACTTGTGGCCAAATCGTCTCCATTTCTTCAAGCTATCAATTTCATTCTTATTGTAAACTAATAGACTAAAATATTTAAAAGACAATGATGATTTATAGTAAAAAGCGTACTTTTAGGTTTCATATTTTTCGAATAGGTGTCGTCAAAAACCTAAGTTCATCATTCGATCGAGCTCGTCGAGTTATATCTGTCTCACAGTATTGTTGAAGTGGTTCAGTAAATGGAGTGAATCATTTTTAAAAAAACTTAAATTGACTGCTAACTTTTCTTACATAATTGTAAAGACCCAATAGTTTCAAAATCCTGCATGACGATAAGAAAAAAACTAAGCGAAATCGTTGTATAGTGCATATTTTTTTCCAATCTTTGATTCACTCTCTCTTTCCGTTCTTTCAGCTGCTTGATAGATGAGTGATAGAACAAGCAAAACACAGGTAATATTTTTATGTGAAAAAACGAAGAATCTCAATAATATGTGATCATGAGTTATTTAATATAAACGAATGAATACGCACAAGCCAAACTTATTTAGTGATGTATATATAAGCCATGTGATACTTTTGTCTCTTGCATACAACAACATTGATACATTAGAGTGATATACTTGTCGTCAACACACAATATTTTACACTAATACAGCAAGTAAACGTAAGTGTTTTGAAATTGCATTCTCTTCAGAAGGCCTTTTTGGTCATCGGTATTCAGTGAATTTTTCTATCCTTAAGTGGTACCATTATTGCTTGTATAGTATTTTTTCGCATCATAATAATTATTTTCCTGCTGACAAAAATATTTCGAAGTTCTGTATAAAATGAATAGGAGATATTCATTACTGTAAAGCCACTTTTCTCACGAAGCGTTTGCAGTAAGAATTGTTAATACGTTTTGTAAGTTCCAAAGAAAAAAAAATAGTTTAGAAATGTATTTTTTTACTATTCGAAAAGGTTTGACCTCGCTGAAAATTAGATATGATGTTGAATAGAAAATAGGTGCTTCAGGAAATTTTCGTAGAAGAGATTCTCTTTAACTGAGTTTTGGCAAAGAATATGCTTAGGATATTGTCTTCAGAGCGAATAATTTTAATTGCATAATGATCCTTTTTGTGATATCAACAAAATTCGAGCTGATGGGCCTTGGAAAAATCATATTCTTTCTAA